TTTTTCTTTTTTTCATCAATTTAGAGCAACTTCTTTAGTTTACATTTGATCGCGCTCTTACCGATTTTTTTAGAGAAAAAGAAATGATGATGATGATGATGAGGACCTAAGAATCATTGGAATGGAAGGATTTATTCCGTTAAGAACATTGTAACGAGACAGAAGCCATTGAAAATAATGTTTTGAGAAGATTATTTTTAAATGCTTTGTATTATATTTGAGGGTAGGAATGACGTTAAAAATAGTTATTTTATACATATTAAAATTTTTTAATGATACTTTTAATTTTTTGCATTGATGTTAAACAAGTTTTACATTACTAGTTAACATTTATGAATCTTTGCAAATCTAAAAAAAAATTATTTTTCGGTTTAAAAAATCTGATGCATACTGTTTATTTGTTATTTGAAAATCAGTCATCACATATATTTTCTATATTTATGTTATTAATTATGAAATGTTATTTAAAATTGTTATGTTTAACATGTGCTTTTTTTTTAAGTACTAAAATTTTAAATTGAAATAATATTACACAACAAAATATTTGTGCTACATCTTTTATTTTCTTGACATCAAAATATAATGTATCTTAATGTAAATGCAATTTATAAAAATCAAAAGACACATAGCACACAAACAACAAATTTTGAAAATGTACATATTGTGATTTTTTTGAAAGTATTAACATAAGTAAAATAATTATAGTAAAAAGTGTGATAGAACTTTGACCTATACTAAAAGATCATATAAAGTTACTAAAATTTTTAAATATAAAGTTTTTAAATATAATTGAACATTAAACATAATTTTCTAAGTGTTCAATTAATTATTCTCAAATCTTTTTAAATCTCATTATACTTTAATAACATTAAATCATATTGTTACAAGATTTATGAGGTAAATATTATATTCTATTTTTCAATTTATTTTTTTTTTTATATTGACTATATTTTATTTATTCATAGCTATGTTGGAAAAGGATCTGGTTTACATCTATCACTTAATGAATGTTATTGCATGTAGCCTGAGAAACCAAATTACTTTTCAGGCATCAATTTTTATATCAGAAATGCTATCTAAAAGTTGCCGCTTGCACACTACTTATGCTATTAGTAACAAATAATTTCTGCAGAAAAGATAATCTTTTACATCTGCTTCCTATATATTGTTTACCAATATTTCTCACTATATAATCACACTATATTTTTGTTTACAATTATTGATGTAAGTTTTAAATAGCACTGCATATACTCTAGTGCACATGTACTTAATTTTATTGATGTGGCCAAGAAAAGATAAATTGTATAAGTGTTTTGCAATTTTATATATTTCATATTTAAAAAGAGGTTTAATAAAATATGATAGAAAGATTATTAATATTTTGTTCAAAATTTTTTGAGAAGATTATATTAATGTGCAATCGGCAAGTAACATATTCTGATAATGATAAGTGCCCTGCAATTATGTTTTTATCTTGTTAGGAAGATTTTCAGTTCTGTGTAAATTACTTTTTCCTTTTTATTTTTACTTTTTTCAGTTTATTACAGCATTTATTGCTTATTTATATTTGGTTTCTCCACAGACACATGTAAGGAGCTCTCCAAACAGAACACATTTATAAGAGTAAATCTAATATGATTTATTAAGTTGTATACATTTTTAGTAATATTTTCTTTCTTGTCGAATATGGCAGAAATATTTATAGTATTTAACATTAATATATTATTTCATATAGATTCTAATTCAGTATGTTTAATTTCTAACATTCTCTAATTTTGTTACCAGATAAATTTTAATTTCTTCAAATGGTACAAAACATATATATATGCTTTCTGATACATTGTAATCAACATCTCAGATAGTATTTAGTGAGGAAAGTATGACATAGGTATGTGCGTATGCAATGTTGGTGTCAAATATTACATATTATTGTTGTACTATAGTTTCTATAAATGTTGATTATATTTTCCTGATATTTATTTTCTTTGGAAAGTATTATCCAATATTTCGGATAACAAAAGACATTGACAACAAAAGATTGAATGTAAGTATTATACAAAGAATAAATAATAGGGAGAAGGTAAAAAATTACATTAAATATGTTAGACATATTAAATTTTACAAAAATTATTTGCTTAATTCTAAATTATAAAAAGACATCATTAATAAAACAATAAACCTTCTCCTTATTTAATAATCTATTTATTCTAATTATGGTACTTGCATAAAAATAGACTCAGTATTTTAGATATTGACTTAATCCTGTACTAATTTTGCCATAATAATTTTTATGAACAATTTTTACACACGAATAATAATTTTAGTGCAAAATTAATAACAATTTTATTTGGTATATTAAATAATGTGTAAGAATCTAAAGATAGGTTCTTGATGTATTTAATACTTTGTGGGGCAGCTGGGAACTGTGATGGGAGAAGTTAGTCCGGGACCACTACCATTGCACACACGCGTCGCCTTGCCAGGTTTGGTCGGCAAACATTTATAGAGACTAATTGATATTGGTAAATAAATTTATCTTTTTATGTGTAATAAATGTGCAACTGATAAATGTATTTATCCGAAAAGCTTAAAACATTTGTGTAAACTATTAGTGTTATATCTAATACTATCCATTATAAATAGAATTTGGAAGATGTTTCTATTACTTGTTGTATTTATTTAAATATTATAAAATTAAATTGTATAAGTTGTCAAAGAAATACAAATGTATGTATTTGTAATAAACGTAATTTATATTATTTCCACTTTATAATACTGTCTTTTAATTGTCATAGATAAAACTTCTTCAGTAATTTATACGCATATGTATATATGAATTATATATATTATAGCAACATGTATATTACATTTATTGGTTGTACTAAATTTAACAAAGTTTTGTTATATGCAATACCAATCAATTGGTTATATGAAAATTAATAAACATAATAAATAACTTATAGTTTCATATGGTATATGATTTAGTGCAAGTCCTGGTTTGTAATATTATCACAGAAAAATTTATCTTGCAACGTTATTGAATTAAATATAGTAATGTGACACCAACTGATATTTGCATCATGCATTCAAATATAATAATTTATGGTACAATATTTGTAAAATAATATAATACAATTAATACATTTAATCGAAGATTTTAAATTTGTAAAGTTAAATTAAATAGAAAAATAATATATAGAACTAAAAATACAGTATTAGTATAGTAATAATAAATAAATAATTAATTTTTAATATTGTTATGTTAAGAATATAGGAATATTTGTTACATAAATTTAAATTATTATATTTGGATGTATCTTGTAAATAATAAGATATTAATAAGATATTAATAATTTTATTTGAACGAAGAACTTAATTTTTTGTTCAGCAAATTGATTTTGCTGTCATGTACAATTATATTTACATTCAGGGTGCAGGACACGGGATAAAAATATAAATACATCACATTTATATTATAATTTGTAATTATATATGAATTTAAAGGAAACAAAGGCAAAAATTAAATTAATGAAAATAAAACAATTTATTGGAAAAAGATTATTACATATAGAAACTATAACCTGTGCCAAAGTTCACAAAAACTACAAGATAAATTAGAAAAATCTTCTGTGAAAATGATCATAAGTAAAAATTTTAACATATTTACATGACAAGTGTTATAGTACTGTTCTCAGAAAAATAAAAAGTACATATTACAAATCATAGGAACAAGAATTAAATAAAATATTATTTGCAAAATGTACTTTAATCATTTTTTAGAATCTTATAGTACTATTGATAATTGCATATTTGATACGTATATTGTTAGGTATCTACTTATAATTTCGCATATATTAATATTAAATTGTACATAATGTATTCAATTATAATTTATTATCAACAATTTTAATTATTCATAAAACGTGAAATACAAAAGTAATAGATAAAAATATATGAAGTCTTACTTTAGATGTTGGCTGTGAACACAACAAAAGATATTTGGATATGTAGTTTACATATTAGAAATGAATATTCAGAAGCATATTAAGAAATTATATCTGCAACATATATATGTTATTCCTTTTATAATTATCTGTTTTTAAATTAGTATTGTTTTAATTATATATAATACTAATTAACTTACTATGATATTGCATAACAAGCAGGATTTTAGCCTATATCTGTTAAAATGCTCTTTTTCTATACATTTGTGAATTGAATATGTAATAATTATTGCAATGTATACATATATATATATTCTATATATACATATATAGAATAATAATGTTGTGATACTATGTACTACACTTTACAGTGTTTAATAAAGTATTTGTAAAAACAAAATGAAAATATTTAAAATTTAATCGAATATTATAAATAAATAAAATTATTTATTTATTTATACTATTATATGTATAATCTACAAATATGTATAATCTACAATATGTATAATCTACAAAATGTATAGATTTACAAAAATGTAGAAAAATATAAACTTTCATGCATACATACATAGTATATTGCAATATTATACAATTATTTGATTTTTAATAGTTTTCCTCATGTCATCAGTGACGGTAAATATGGGCCCATGTCCAGGTATTATGAAATTTGCTATGTCTATTACATGAGATCTCATGCGTGATTGAGTTTTCTGTAATTCTGTAGTTCCTAATTTTTGCCAAATTGTTGGATCTAATATGTCTTCTTCTTTTTCAAATAAATCTCCTATAAAATGTATAACATAGAAATTTCTAAACCATTTATTAAGTATTATTATATTTATTTCAAAGAATAAAACCTGTAATAGCAAAACATGTTGATTTCCCAGAAACTATAGTTTCAACTAAAACTGTAACATCATCTGGTGTATGACCAGGGGTTGCTATAACTTTAACTTCTGGACAAATTTGATATCCTGCATAATATATTTGATAATTATTATTTTTTATTAATTTTACATGTTTGTATAATTTTATTATTAAATGTAAAAAGACTTTACCATCTTTTAAATTTTTATTGAAAAATAATTCACCACGGTGAACACAGGTTCCAATTATATGTTCTGCATTTACAAAAAGATTATTATTTCCTATATGATCGGCATGACTATGAGTACATACGACATAATCAATCTTTTCGGGTGTAATAGTATGTTTAATAAGTGCTGAAATAAAATTCTTATTTAAATACTTATTTAAGTCGTATGAACAATAATACCTTGTATTATTTTTTCTCGGTCCCAAGCTGTCATAGTATCAACGATAATATTCTTTGATGCCTTTATTAATGTACAAGAACAATTTGCTTTCATTGTTTCATCGTCCAATTTCGTAGAGTGACCATTAAATAATACAATAACTTCACACATTTTTAAAATCAAATTTAAGAGAAGAAATTTTTAGATTGTAGAAGTTATTTGCCTATAATTTTGTATTATAATATATACTGTATATTTTATATGAATAAATACGATTTATTTTATTATTATTTAAAAAAAATTATACTTAAAATATTTGTTTGAACCAACAACCTTACATTACAGGTTATGTTTTTAATGTAATGTATGCCGGATCAAAACATCCATTATATTTTTCTTAAATGAGAAATTAATGAAAAAATAACATTTAAAATGAAGCTGGTAATTATAATTATTGCAATATTTTAATATAGTAGTATACGTAAATTTAATTTATTTTTAATAATTATTTTTAGTGTAATCTTTTTTGTGAATGTCTGAATTCAGATATTTACATTAATAAGTGTAATTACCTGATAATTGTCTAATATATTAATTATTTATAATAAATGCATTTTAAATATATTATATTTATAGTATTGTTTATTATATTATATTTATAGTATTGTTTATCAAGTGAACCAACAAAACCATGTTTGGTTTTAAGTTTCAAAGGAATTACATTAATGTTAGATTGCGGTTTAAATATGCAATCTGTATTACATTTTATGCCCATGCCTATGATTCCCAGCGCTAAATTTAATTCTTTACCTTCTTGGCTTCCACGTGATAATCACCAAGACTGGCAAATAGAAGGGGTTCGCATATTCATATACCTGTTAGAATATAATTACGCTTCATATACAAACTTATAGTCATATTAGACATCCAATTTTTCAGGAACTGAAAGAATGTTGTGGCAGAGTATTTGTAGATTCAACTCCTGAATTTTCTCCACCTTTGGAAAAAATAATAGATTTTTCAGAAATTGATGCAATTTTAATATCAAATTACACTTGCATGTTGGCTTTGCCATTTATAACAGAAGACACTGGCTTTAAAGGCATTATTTATGCTACAGAACCAACATTACAAATTGGACGATTTTTTATGGAAGAACTAGTAGAATTTATTGAACAAACTCCTAGAGCTACATTAGCTAAACATTGGAAGGAAATGCTACATGTATTACCTTCTCCATTAGCCGATGCTCTTAAGCCAAAATCTTGGAAGCATATATATTCACTGTCAGCAGTTAATACTGCTTTGTCATATATTCAAACAGTTGGATATGATCAAAAATTGGTAAGTTAATATAATGTTATTTTATTTTGTACTATTTCTCTTTGAAATGCTTCTTACTTCTCATAGGATATATATGGTGCATTAACAGTCACTCCCATAAGTTCTGGATATTGTTTGGGTAGCAGTAATTGGTTAATTTCATGTGATCACGAGAAGGTTGCATTTGTAAGTGGATCTTCAACATTGACGACACATCCTAGGCCTATGGAACAGGCTACTTTGAAACATGCTAATATGTTAATATTAACGGGTTTAACTCAAACTCCTACTGCAAATCCAGATACTATGCTTGGAGAACTCTGTATGACTGTTGGTAAGTAAACTTAAAATATTTTATTTAATACCTATACAATTCAATGTGCATAATGGAGTTTAATATTATAGCAATAACACTCAGAAGTGGAGGATGTGTCTTAATACCATGTTATCCATCTGGAGTTGTATATGATTTATTTGAATGTCTTAGTACTCACTTGGATAAGTCTGGTTTTTCACAAGTTCCTTTATTTTTTATATCACCAGTAGCTGAAACTTCTTTGGCATATTCAAATATTTTAGCTGAATGGTATGTAATATTATTGGATATTAGAGTTATTTAAATTATTCATTTTAAGTTTATTACAGGTTATCAACAAATAAACAAAATAA